AATCCACCTACAGCAACGAGCCTCCGATGCAATTCTATAGAATTTTCGAAGGGTTAGAATCCTTAAAAAATCTCCTTAGGTTGGTCGTTTGATTCATATGATTGAATCCTACATGAATTTTTCCTAAGGGATCATGCGTACTATATTTTATTAAAAATTTAGCATCCACTTCAAGCTGTTTTTACAATTTCTTTGTTTTTTTCCTGTGGCATCAAACACACTATGCTAATCCTATAGGAGTGAAGCGGACATGCCACTTCAATCCAGTATTTTTTTTTCCTACTTATGCATTTTGAGAATCCTGCGAATCAAAGAGGGCCTTAGCTAGTTTTTCCAACCATGTCGTTTTCCAAGCGAACTAGAAAATCAATTGTGGCAAGATGTGATTAGTGAGACGTGAACATTGACTCCTCTGGAAATTCATTCTCTGAAACCGACGTGTTTGTCATGCAGTAACATACCAAGACAGAATTGTAGGCCTCCGCCAGAAACAAAACAATACAAAAGATATAACCGTGCTCATGTATGTAATGCAGCTGGAAGAGTTCCTGAAGTGGAGGGTGTCCGGTCGTGTGGAAACACCTTACCTAGGCGGGCGGCTTTTGGTTTTGAGACGAAGTTGACACTTCACCCGATCACCAATCAGGTCCGAACTATATACTCCCTCCGTTCCAAAATAGATGACCCAACTTTATACTAACTTTAGCACAAAGTTGGGTCATCTATTTTGGAACGGAGGGAGTATAAGATAAGAAGAGCCTCCCCCATTGCCATCGTCATCACACACACACACACACACACACACACACACACACACACACACACACTCTTCACAAGTTCTCACTGTTTCCTGTCCCTCTTGAGTTGAGTCTCTCTGCTCCATCCCGGCCGGCCTTTCCCTCCTGACAGCCCGATGGCCCAGGTACGCCAGTTTTAGAGTGTTTTCTCCCTCGATCCGTTCAGATTATAGCATGCCGACCGATCGTGTCGTCGCGTCGGTGAATCCTGCTAAGTTTCTTAGTAGAATCCTGGGGAAATGTTTGTTCACTCTTTGCTTGGTTGCCGCTCGCAGAAGGTGGTGCTGAGGATTCCCACCATGACCGACGACAAGACCAAGCAGAAAGCCATGGAGGCCGTCGCCGACATCTACGGTAAGTTTGTGCCCCCCATGAATCCTTCCGTTGCTGGTTTGTTTGATATCGCTTGGCGGTTTGATTCTCACAAGGAAGCGGGCAGAAAAATCTGCTCTCGTGCTTCCCGGCTCCTGGCCGTTGATAGTCAGTTCGTCTTTTCATCGTGTAGTATATTTTTGGAAACACGGCCTTCTACACTTCTACCAATAAACCGTAGCTGAATTTCGCAAGGACGCATGAATTATTGCTGGGCGATAATGCGATATTCGATCGCGACGTGTGATCAGATGTGGCCGGCCAAGTAAGTCAATCTGTAGGGCCATAAGCTACATGCATGCATGTACGATAGTACGAAAATGGCTTTACTCTTGTGTTTGTTTGATGAGCCAACTTGGTAGAACTACACATGGGTCCTTTCCTCCTCCTCTCCTCCGTCCTACGTATACGTGTGAGTGAGTGGGCATGACTAGATATGTCGTCGGTCAGATCCTCGCACAAAAGATCAAAATCCTCACACTATAATATGCTTGTAATCATAGTGCAGATCCAAATCAATAAATGGATTCTAAAGAAAGAGAGATTTAATCAATTAATGAACATGAATTCTATTGCTTAATCAATGAAGATAGTTTTGTTGCATCTAATCATAGTCCGGATGCAACCAATCAACCATCATGAATGAACTCATTCCTTTTCTTTCTACTTGTGCTCGGTTGCAGGTATCGACTCGATAGCCGCGGACCTCAAGGACAACAAGATGACCGTCATAGGCGCCATGGACACGGTGGCCATCGCCAAGAGGCTCAAGAAGCTCGGCAAGATCGACATCGTCTCGGTTGGCCCGGCCAAGGAGGAGAAGAAGCCGGCGCCGGCGCCGGCTGCTGAGAAGAAGGGCGAGGAGAAGAAGGAAGACAAGAAAGAGGAGAAGAAAGATGACAAGAAGGTCGACAAGAAGTGAAAGCAACCCATTGCAGAAGGAGAAACCCAACATCATCACGCAAACGGCAACAGCAACAAAAAGTCTTTGACATCTGAGGCTCTGATGGAATGCTAGATAGCTAATTATCATCTCCACTGCGAAACAAGGTCGCTTTGCGTACTGTACTGGTATAGCGCACTACAGACATCAAGTCAAATCAAATATCAGATCAGTGTGTGTGGACATGTGACTCTGGGTTTGCCTGATTGGTGATGACATGAATCCTACTCTATCAGCCAACTTCAGGCAATTTTTCAGAATTCAGACTACATTGCATGATCTCAGTTTTTTAGCTGTTTGAACCTGAGCTGGCCTGTGACAGAGACTGGCTATCTGCCACCTTCTGATGGGAAAGAGGACAAGAGTTTCAGTCGTCGCAATGGTGCGGCCAAAAAAAAGGAAGCAGTGTCAGTGTGGCCTTTCCCCTAACTCCAAGTTGCCGCAGGCCCAAGTATATCCGGCTTTGCTCACAGTCTTTGATCTGTCACCATTACTTCAAAAAAATTTGAAACTTTTAAATATGTTTTGATTTTTTCTTCCTTTTTGCAAAACGAGCTCCATGGGGCTCGGCCTTTGCAACGCCACACTCCTAAATGGCCCGACTACTAGGGCTGCCAATTAATGATATTTTTTTATTTTTTCATAAACATGAAAAACAGTGTATTCAGTTTTTACACACTGAAAACTATGATCACAAATAAATTGATAATGGAAACTGTTTGCTTATTATGGAATAGTGCCGTGCATTTAAAAGTTGATGTTTATGAGTTTAAAAAGAAATGTTCACGTACTTCAAAAACTATTTACATAGCTCCAAGGAGATGTTCATGTATTCAAATCAAAATGTGCATACATATGAAATAAATCCTTATGACTTCAATAAATCACGTTTTTAAAGTAAATGTTCACATACTACCAAAATGTTCAACTGTTTGCTAAAAAAAGATGTAAACAAAAAATAAGAGTAAACTTATAAAATTAGAAACAACAAAAAATAATCCCTGATCATGGGCAGTATGATTTGATCTGTACTCTTTGCAATGAGTGTATGATAGGGTTCACTCATAAAACTTATACCTCGCGTATTACGAAATATAGCAAGCACTTGCCGATGTGCGCGTGCAAAATTTACCACAACCCAACACAACTTGTTTTGGTTTTGATTGTTTGTTGTTTGTTTAAATTTCTGTTATTTCTTTCCGTTTTGTGTTTTTTCTTATTTCTTGTATTTAATGTGTCGCATATTTACTCTTTTTTTGTTTCTTCTGTTTGACCATTTCTATTTATTTTTGGTATACCATATTTTTTTGGTGACGTATATTAACACTACATTTTATGAAAACTCGTACTTTTAAAATTATATACAAACACTTTATGAAAAAGGTTAACACTTTAATAAAATAAATGAATTTCACAAAATCATGTGACTAATTTCGTATTAGTTATATATTTTTTTCGAAAATCAGCATTTTATGAAAATTACATGAACATTTTGAAGAGCTCTGCTTTTTTTAATGTTGCATTATTCTTTGGGAAAAGTATGTGAACATTTATTTATATAGATAAACATCTCTAAAAAGTGTGTGAAAATGTTTTTTATGTACATTAATACTTTCTAAAAATATGTGAACACTGTTTCAGTGAGATGATAATTTTAAAATACATAGATAATTTTTGGTTACATGAATGTTGTTTAGAAAATATGTGTATATTTAATGTAGTATCCAGACAGTTTTTAGAAGTACATGAATTATTTATTTGTTTAGACGTGCATGTATGTTTTACAACAAATGATGTTTCAACTACCAATAGCGGACATAAGGCTATTGGGTTGGCCACCTTGGCGTGTGCCATTAACAGGTATTTCTCCTTTTTTTTTCATAAATTGTGAAAGTATATTGATCTTGCTAATACTCATGCACTTTCAAAAATGTTTACAGAATTTCCAAAAAGCCAAAAAGTCAAAGAAATAAAATGAAAAGGACAAACAGAAAAAAATGGGGAACCGGTGGAGAAAAAAAGAAAAGGAAAATCTGCAATAAAAATCAGTAGAATCGACTATAGCTACAGTTACTGCTCTCCTAGGTAGCCTGGCGCTATGACGCTCTCGTCTGTGTGTTTCAGCGACAATTTGTCTCAACAGGCAAAGAATAAGAAATTCCCTTAGTTTTGGGCTTTGTACGAAGCACTCCCCTAAGCCAACATCACAAAAGATATAACAAGGCCAACAATAGGTGGTGGCGTATGCACTTGAGAAAGGATGCGTGTGTGCTGATATCTCAGATTACAACAAACTCAGCCCACGCGCGTGCATTACTGTCAGCCCTAGACTCCTCTAGAAGCCCATGGTTTACACACCATATTGTCGGTTTGTACAAATTCCAACACTATTCCTCAATCACAACTTTATCGAGTCGAGATTGTTCCTAAAGTTCTCTAGTTTTGCTTGTTAGACAATGGCTTTGGAAACACATGTAGAACTTGTGCCGGGATGCGTGCGTGTTGATATAAGGTGCTGGTTGGCTAGATTACAGAGGAGTTCGGCTGAGACGTGAATTGGGTCCCAAGTTAGCTATATAGATAAGGATCCTTTCTCTCTCCCAATCAGATCTGCATCAGCCGCGTATGGTATAAGGCTGCAAACCGATGATTTCTACCCTTTAAGCTTGGCTGTGTATGGTGAACAAAACCAAAATCAGTTCACAAAGCGCCTTTTCTGACTGGACAAGCTTATTTCTGACATATCTGACTGGAAAAGCTAGGTTCACTGGCCTTGCTATGGGCGGATACATCTTTTTCATAGTATAAATAGACCCCTTAACTAAGCTCACTGCCATATCCAACAAACTATTTGTTGTAGAGGATCATCCACACAGCCAGCAGCCACAATGGAAGCGAGCGTGCAACAAGGCAACTATGTCCAAGTCTACGTCATGCTCCCTGTAAGCACCATCCATTCAACTCAATCTCTATTCTCTAAGCACCATGCACTACAACCATTTCAAGGATCTAATTCACACATGCAATGTTGTACATATAATACCGTTATTCTTAAACACTCTAGTTCAAAGGGTGAAGTCAACAAGATCTGAGGCCTCAAAATGAGTATTTTATTTGTACTAACCTTGACTTCGTTTTTGTTGTGGAAATAAATAGCTGGACGCCGTGAGCGTGAACAACAGGTTCGAGAAGGGTGACGAGCTCAGGGAGCAACTGAAGAGGCTGGTAGAGGCCGGTGTGGATGGTGTCATGGTAGACGTCTGGTGGGGCTTGGTGGAGGGCAAGGGCCCCAGGGCGTACGACTGGTCCGCCTACAAGCAGTTGTTCCAGCTGGTGCATGAGGCTGGACTGAAGCTAAAGGCCATCATGTCATTCCACCAGTGTGGTGGCAACGTCGGTGATGTCGTCAACATCCCGATCCCGCAGTGGGTGCTGAATGTCGGTGCGAGTGATCCGGACATTTTCTACACCGACCAGCACGGGACTAGGAACATTGAGTACCTCACCCTTGGAGTTGATGACCAGCCTCTCTTCCATGGAAGATCTGCCGTCCAGGTTAATATAAACCACCACTCTAGCTCTCTCGTGCTTTTTTTTTTCATTCAAATGTGTGTTGTTTTGTGTATTTAGAGAGAAAATTTCAAGATGAATGCAAATACAAGCAAAAGGCCAAATGGTGCCAAAAATATATATCAAAAGAAACGAAATATATATCAAGAGTGAAAAGAATCTAGGGCCTAATCACAGGAAGAACAAGTAGTTGTGATTTTGATAGGTACAATGTGCTGATGGTAGAAAGCTTTGATTCTTCTTTCTGGCTGTGACAGATGTATACTGATTACATGGCAAGCTTCAGGGACAACATGAAAGAGTTCTTGGATGCCGGTGTTATTGTAGACATTGAAGTCGGACTTGGCCCGGCTGGAGAGTTGAGGTACCCATCCTATCCTCAGAGCCATGGATGGTCATTCCCAGGCATCGGAGAATTCATCGTAAGTGTTTTTTTTTTCAAATAAAAATATTTCCTCTTTTGTTCCGACTAATATACTTTTGCATGTAACATGTGATGACCAAAGGCGGTTTATTATTGTCCAAGTGACGATCTATATTGGAAAAGTTTTCTCAGCAAACCAACACCGAAATGAAAAGGGATTCTCATAAAAAACGCAAGGATAAAATGGCAATTTCAGATCAGAACAAGGCATGGCTAGACCTGACTTCATCAGTTCTCCTACCCCATACCCCGATCCCAATTTTCACTTTTTTATTTCTCCTAAATAAGACATCATACAAACTTGACACATATGAACTACAATATGAGAAAAAAAATAGGATTCGTTTGTGCAACATAATTAAATACTTCAAATGATAACTGTCTTGGGGAAAAGACTAATTTCATATATATAAGCTACACCCAAAAAATCCAAAATGGTTTTCTGCACATTAATTGTAGTCCCAATTTTTCATTGACCCGCAATATTTCAAGTTCATATATTGCTTTTTGGAAGAAAC